CTTCACACCATCAGCCTCTCTCAAAATGCTAATGTTCCTCTGAGACACTGGTGGTACCTTTGTTTCTTGCAGGAAGATGCTCCCTGTCTTGGAGCTGGATGTGTCATGTGGCAGTTGCTACGGTAACTCGTTTAAGGAATGTCATCGAGTGAGTTACCAAGTAAATAGTCTTGTAAGGAGGATATTATAGCTGACATGTAAATTAAGGCTGCCCTGTCTCTGTCAGAATTTTCTATTCTGAATTCCCCTGCTTTCCATATTTAAAAGAAAATTTCTTTCCCTTGCAAAAATCTCCATTTCTTAAGTAACAGAACAGCATTTGTATACACAGTTGACATTCCCTTGCTCCTTATTTCAGTTTTCTATACCTGGGCATTAATTTCCCAGTGCTACCCTTAGATGACAATAGAGATACTTAATAAACATTTTTTTGGGTGGTCATCAAGAGCAAATGGTAGTTCCTCCTCTTGAAATCACATAGAACAATGTCTTCTTGAAGCTTTATAGAGCTGATTTCTCAATTTTATTAAAGCATTTGAGTAGATGCTAAACTGCTGGTCCTAACTCTCGAAATTCTAGGGGTTCACCTTGGGATATACATGGGTGACCCTCTGTGAGTGAACACTTTAATTTTCATATCTGAAAGGCCATATTTGCCACTTTATTCCCAAAATAGAAAGTGTGTGGGCCACCTTTTATTTACTGAAAATCTTTTTCAGACATATCACAACAATGTTCACCTTAACTTTGCTGGAATTAAGCTTCAGTGAACAGCCAACCTGCACTGATTCATTTGGGAAGAGTGCAAGATTCATATAAACTGTTTTTTTTTCCTGCATCTTTAATTTCTAATTCTAAACCAGGTTATCCAGCTAGAAGCCAATATGTGCTTGCATTTTCCATGGAATTTTTTTTCATAGTCTTGTTATAAAACTTAACATTTTTCTTTTTGTCAATGGTCATTATAAAAAAAAACAAATGAACATCAATTTCTATCTTTAAAAAACTATCAAACATATAAATCAAAATATATATCCCCTTTACATAAAAACACATAAAATGTACCCATTGGATGCTAATGACTAGAATAGATTTAGCAGTACATTGATTTGGACATCATTTATTTATTTTAATTTTGTTCATGGGAGCTTTATAAACCTTTCACAGTCCCTTTTTTACTATTTCTTGTTAATGGCTACCGGGGAGTTAACAACTCAGTTACATGTAATTTCAATAGATTGTCTTAGATTCATTCTTTCATTATTTGAGGTAATTATCTGACTTCTACTAGCTTAAGTTCTATTTGACTATGAAAGACAGATATTAATTCTGTTTGGCTATGAATGACAGGTAGAAATAAAAAATAGCCAAGCCCCCCTTATAGAGGCATCAGGGGACAATTTCTTGCTATCAGCAGAGACCCAGGCTCATTCTGTCTCTCTGTCTCTCGTTCTGATAGTTCCTGGCTTCCATATTTGAGGTTTACCCATGGTTACTAGAGAGGTGGTGAATTTCCAAAGTAGCCTGTCAGTGTTCCAGGAAGAAGGTGGTGGAAGATAGGAGGTAAAGGTCACATTCTAAATGAGCCAGTCCTCATTTTTTAAAATGCTTTCCCAGAAGTTACATCTAGAAAATTCCACTTCTATTCCAGTGAATAGAGTTTAATTAAATAGCTACTTCTAATAGGGGGACCTAGGAAGTGGCGCCGGGCACACTGCCACACCAATTCTAGACTCCATTAGAAAGGCATAAGAGGGGAATGACTGTAGAGCTGGCAGCTGGATATCTACCTCATCACCCTTCACTCCATGAGTCCTATTCATCTGCATTTTACTAGTTTAAATTTTTTCTTTCTATTTCCTCACATCTGTTTTAAAGTACGTGGTATAAAAACATTACTTAATAATAGTACTAATCACATGTACTCAAGAACTACGCTACCCATTACATAAACACTCCCATTTTGTCATTTTTCAAAAGTATGACAAGGTGGTCACTACCTTTATTTTCATATTGTCAATGAGTGCTTTGATATATAAGACAATGAAATACCTTGTTGAAGTCACCCAATTAATACATGGGAAATATGGGTTTCTAGCTTTTGTATTTCTTTTTTGGCAGGCATATCTGTTCATTAGTTTAATATATTTTTCCATCCTACATATGAATGTCCTTACCTGGGTTGGGATTGTTTTCATTTTGTTTTGTTCTTTTACCCACCATACCACTGAATCAGATAAAAGCATTTCAAGTTTGTTTCTACCTTTCCCTCATATTTCTTTCTACTTTTACCTTTATTTCATGGAAAAAAATTTTAAACCCTGTCTATCTGAGGAAAGATAACCTGACTTTGGAGATACTGTCCTGTCTGTCATTAGCATATTCAGGCCAGTGCATGTAAATCCATCATGTTCATAACGAGTGTTCAGTAGCTAACTTCCTACCATATTGACAACTATGACAACAGTGATGGTGTTCATATTTGTTACAGTTTTGGTTTCAGTTATAATTACATAAATATTTATTTCAACCATTCAGTCATTCAACAAACTGTAGCTGAGTCATCCTTAGATCCTAACACTGACTTGGAAGCTGGTGTCACAGCTGTTAATGGATTTCCTCTCCTCACGAGGTGTGTTGTCTGCTCTGTGAATAGGTAACCTGGGAGCTAACAAATTAATAGATGTGCAGTACTTCAGATGGTTATAAAGTCAAGCAGGGAAAAAATGGGAGGATAGAGAGGGAGCATTATGGCATGGGGAATGGAAGAAATGGCTGTTTGCTCACTGCTAAGGTGGCGTCAATAGAAGACCCCACAGTATGAGGGTGTAAGCTGTGCAGTAGTAAGAGGAGCAATCCAAGAATATGGAGCCTTAAGTACGAATGCCCCAGAGAGAGAGGAAGTAAAGATGATCAAGGAAGAACAAATACAGAGAGTATTGTCAAGAGCTCCCTCATAACCCTAGGTGACAAGAGCTTTGAATAAAAAGAAGAAATCTGATTGTGAGGTTATTATTTCTAATCCAACTCTTCACACAGACTCCAAATATTATCTTAAAAAATGTAGATGATGCAGTAGCTAAGAAAAAAATGGAAAGGATCTGGTGACTGTGAATCTACTCTTAAGTCTTATGTCCTGAGGCAAACATTGCTCTCCTGGCTAAAAGTACTTTCTTGGACATTTTGTTTTGTTTTGTTTTTCATGATCATGGTAGAGCTATGAGAATTATTGTTATAGGGCCACTGCAGCATTACTATCTTAATAAATCCTTTCAACAAACCTGCAGGGTAAAGGCTATTTCTGTAACAGGTGGATTCAGGGAGAGAGTTGATCACAGTCAGAAAAGAAAAAACAAAACAAAACAAAAACAATGTAAAAGCTAGATAGGATGAGAATAGGGAACAGATCCAAGTACTATGATAAAATATTTTCAGTTATAAAGAGTATCAATTTCCAACAATGAACTGAAACTTAGTATCATACTGCTATAGAACTTGAATTGAAAAAAAAGTCTTGCGGACCTCCCCTGGTGGGGCAGCAGTTGATCTCTGGGCTGCAAAGCTGCCCGCAGCCTCTGCAGCGCTAGTTCGATCCTCAGCCACTGGCGAGAGTCCCACATGATGCGCAGACCTCTCCTGCCACGCCTGCTGCTCCCCTCAGCAGTGTATTTCATCAGTCTGTCTGTTCTGCTCTGCTCTGGCGCTGGTGAATTCTTTCACCCTCCCGTGCTTCTGACTGTACTCAGTGCTTGTATAAATAAATAAATATATCTCTTAAAAAAAAAAAAAGAAAAGAAAAGAAATCTTGAAAAAAATCAAGGTGGGAGTCAGGATGAAATCATTAAGGACAATGTTCATATCCATATGGAACACAAATTTTAGGGGGGGTGGGAGAGAAATCACAAATAATTAAAGTGATTGGTATTGTTGGGTATAAGTTTTCTAATAAAACAAAGCAAGGTAAGTGGATAAAGATGGATGAGTATATTCGTTTTAATAAACTAGCCAGAATTCACCTTTCTGAAGAAATGACTTTTGAGCAAAGACCTTAGTAAATAGAAGGGCAGGTTGTGTGATAATCAGGGGAACACTGTTGAAGCAGAGAGAACAGCAATGACATAGGTCTTATGGGGTCATTCTCCCCAAAAGGGTCAGATTGGCTTTTCTCAATAGGTCCAGAATAGGCCTCTTGTCACTTTCTAATGCGAACTAGAGGTCAGTCAAGGTTCTGCGAGCCTGAGAAGTTTAGTCCCATTACTTAAAAAAAAAAAAAAAAGAAAAGAAAGGCAGCTTGCTTTGTCTGAGGGCAGTGAGGGCCATGAAGTCTGAGAGAAGCTTATGTTCTTGTTCTTGCCCAAATGCTTTGACTCTTCCCATTCAAAGAAGAGATAACAATGTCCTAAGCTCCTGCCCTTTTTCTAATTGAATAAACAATGACTGCTGTCCATTTTATGACTAAGAAGAATGCAGTCTGTGGGGCTCCTGCCTTTCTTGGTTTCTGATTAAATCTAGTCTCTTTCAGTATCTCATCTGGGCCTCCCCTCATGGGGCAAGCGGTTGAGCGACGAGTTGTGAAGCTGTCTGCAGCCTCTGCAGTGCCAGTTAAATCCCGGCGGGCCAGCGAGGGTCCCACATGGCGTGGCAGACCTCTCCTGACTAGCCCGCTGCTCCCCTCAGCAGTGTATTTCGTCAGTCTGCCTGTTCTGTTCCCCACTCTGTCTCTGGTGGATCCTCTCACCCCCCACACCTCTGACCTGTATCCCGTTTCTTGTATGCATAAATAAAGATTTATTTTATTTATAAAAAATATTTATTTTATTTATACATAAATAAAAATTTATTTTATTTATACAAGAACCCAGATACAGGCCAGAGGCACAACCTCATGCGCCACCAGGGGAGGCCCTAAATCAAATAAATCTTAAAACAAACAAACAAACAAACAAACAAAAAACAAAGAATCTCATCTTTACTCTCAGAGTAAGGTTGAGGTCACCCACCTTATTGTCTGTTTCGTGAAGTCCCTACTCTCCATTCTTGATGTTCCAGCTGTCAAAATGCAAGAAAACCATTAGACTTTATAACAGTGAATTCTCCATATGTTACCAAATCAATTATTTTCCTTTGGTTCATCCTTTTAATTACTTGTCTAGCCTGAGTAGAACCCAAAAGACTATACTATGATTTCATTTGCTCCGTGATAGTCTCAGTGCAGGACTTCTTAAACATGGTATGTGAATGGATAAGTTGGAGTCCAACAAATCACCTTTTTTTCCTAGGGGAAAAATGGTGGGGGATCTAAATATTGGGAGGGGAAATAAATTTAGGTCTGAAATAGGCAACTGTATCTGTAACTCTAGATTATACTAAGATCACAAATATTTATTTTACTGCCTACTATTAAGTTTTGCTATTTCTATATCCAATTTTCTTCTTCAGTAAATACATTCTCTCAAATATTTATTAAATACCTGTTTGCCAGGAGCCTGCTATTTGCATAATTGTTAATTCTTATATTTATATAGTATCTAAACTTGCAGCCAGGACTCAAGAGGCTTCAATCAAAAGAGGAAAAGATGTCAGCTGAATATTATAGGATTCCTCTGGTAAACTGAACATGGGCATATATACCTATCACATAAGTTAGAGGGGATGGACTCTCCCAAATAAGGATAATATCAGTGTAGAACCCAGTGATTCCCAAGTCCTCCTGGGAGAAGAGACATTTCAGCTTTTGTATAATTGATATTTTTTTTCAATCTTCTAACACAATTTGAAATCAAATTTTCAGATACATTGACTGATTCTTAGATGAGTGACTGCCTTTTTTTTTTTTTTTTGAGTGACTGCTTTTTAAGAAGTGGATTCTAGGGGATTGGAGTCACTGACGGTTTGAATATGACAAATTTCAAATTTGTGATTTCTTAATTTTGCTTGTTTACTAAGTTATGCTTTGTAAACATTTAGCAAAATATAAATGTTTTCACTGTCTTTTTTCTTCATTGTTCTAGCTAGAACTTCCATCAGAATAATATGGACATATGTTGAATATATTAAAGATTTTTTCATATACTCAGTCTGAGTAGAGTCAGATCTTTGTGTGTGCTATCATTTTTACACTTATGAAATAATATACTGCTACTGAAAATAAAGTTAAGACACTGAGGTATCTAAAGAATAGGTCATATTGCCATTCTTAGTCCTGCAGCTCAGAAATTATCATTATCATTGTTCTGAGTTTCTTCCTTACTTTGACCCTTACATGATGCATTTTCTGTAAGAAGGTGCTCTAACTCAAATGGACACAAAATTCTGTGTCCTAATGTTGTTTAAGTAGATGACATATTGTTTTGAATATTATTGGAACATTTGTAGAATGAAAATTTTCAAACAGAGGTTACTATTAGCTGATAGCCAATGTTCAGACACTTTTAGTTTTGTGTAATACTGTAAATTCATGCTGATATTCACAACTTATTTTTCTATGACCAAATGCCATGTTGCCTTTTCTATGATCATTCTTTGATTTTTACCATATGCAAGGTGGTGGTTATTTCACTTGATCTTCGCTTAACCTTTTGACTCCACTTCTTTAGGTTATTTGCACATTTAAATTATCTTTTCTAGTCGGAGTTAAAGATCTGTAGAAAGTCTTTTTATTTCCTTCAAATATTTAGCACATTGTAAGTATTCTTTGAAGAAAGAACAGTTAAGGAATATATATATATGTATATATATATATATATGTACACACACACCTATATATATAATTTAGCTTTTATTTTCAAGACTGTCAACATGGCCACTTGTTTTGACAATTGCTAGGAGATTATATATTTCCTTCACATTAAATTCAGAGTTGTTAAAAAATTCAAGCATAAGCTTAATGAAGACTCTTATAGTTGGCAGAAGTATTGACTTAACTAAGCATTAGCCCTTGCAAAAATAAACTTGAACAGGCAGCCAATTCACAAAATTGCTAATTGTTCTTACTTGACTGTGTATCTTAGTTGACAGTTGGTCTTTTACTATGACATGCATGCATATAGTCAATTTCATATACTTTTAGTATTATTTAAACTTTAGCTCTTTAAATCACTTAAGTGTAATTCACAAGTAAAATTTTCATGTGCTTCAATTATTTAAAGTATAGCTTTAAAGTATAAAGTACAACTTAGAATAGCATATATAAGATGGAGGAAATATGTATTATTATACATTATCAGTAGGCCTGTATATATGTCTATATATACACACACTACACAGGAAATCAAGACTTTTAAAATATGGTTCTTATTTTTGGGGAGGAAGGGAATTTTTCATCTAACTCTCTGAGTTTTTCTCTAGCTGGTTGGATGAACAGATCAACTTCAATCAAATTAGTGGAAGGAAAAAATCAAATTGAATTATATATGTGCAGGACTCTACATAGACATGTGGATTGCAAAATAATATAGTAAAATGGGACTATATATCCTGAGTGGAGAAATGGGATGGGGTCTAGGCTTCCAGGAGAGATGATGGTGACTCTTGTGATGATTTATATCATAAAGACCATATGCTCTGTTATTAGATGAATGCCCTACCATATAGGGTACGTTTCTCTGATAAGAAGGTTATTTTGAGGGCCTCCCTGGTGGTGCAGCGGGTTGAGCACAGCACTGTGAAGCTGTCTGCAGTCTCTGCAGCCCTGGTTTGATTCCTGGCCAGCCAGGGAGATTCCCACATGGTGCAGCAGACCTCTCCTGTCTCACTCAATGCTACACTCCGTGGTGTTTCGGTTCGCTTGCCTGTTCTGCTCTCCACTCTGTCTTTGGTGAATTCTCTCACGCTCCCGTGCCTCTGGCCTGTACCCCAGTTCTTGTATAAATACTTTTTTTAAAAAAAGGCTATTTTTGATTAAAAAGACTTAATTCTGGGTAATAGCTTCAATTTTAATTATTTTAGGTTGAGAAGTAGTAAAAGTTTCTCATGAGACTGCAAGGTCTCAATTGACACAGCAAAAAGTAATCTGCTTGTTGAAGTTATGTATCTTGGGGGAGTTGGTTTTGAACATCTTGGGAAGGGCTATCCATTACTATCTTAAAGCTATGCTTTTAATCCAGGATTGGTTGTGTCCATTTGCCACCTCAAGAACAATGTCTGGGAATATTTTTGGTGTTATGCCAGATTGGGGGAGTGGGTGATACTAATGCCTATTGATTTAGAGGTCAGTGGTGCTGCTCAATAACCAACTGCACATACCTCCTCCACCCCAGACACACACAAGCAGGTATCTAAATCATTATATCAGTATTACTGAGGCTGAGAAGACTGTCTTAAAAGATCCTGTAATCTCAGAATAGGAGGCAGACATATTGCAATAGTAGAATTAAGATTATAGTAAGTACCAAGGACAAGTATTTCTAGTAATGATATAAAGGAGGGTGTCATCAGCTTTCCTGGAAAAGACTGAACAATTTAGGAAAGTGATGTTGAACTTAGAGGAGAAGAGGGTCAAGGAGAAATCATTTCAAGGAGAGTAACTAGCTTAAACAAAGCTGTGGCTACATGATGTTACAAATGGCCTAACTAAGCTGGATTTCAGTTTCAGGTATGCAGTCCGGTGAAGAATAAATCTAGGCTGTTAATCTAAAGCTCAGTTACCAAGCTTCAGTTTTGCAAGCTAAAAACTTTGGACATTGTCCTATAGGAAAAGGAAATCCCCTGAAAAGATTCATGCAAGTAAAAAAGTATGGATTTGTTATTTTTTTTTAAAGAACAACAACAATAAAAAAAAAAAAAGAAAACTAGAAGGCAACAAAAATGATTAAGGGTATGGATGTCAATTTGGCTATTAATTAATGGTGCAAGTAAAAAGTCCTGAGAGGCTGATTTATCTCATTAGCAATGGGGTTGGAGGGTACCTGCACCATAATTGATGATGATAAGGAGGCTAACTGGATTGAATTTTCTTCTATACTGAATGATGAGGTTGAAATATCAAATATAAATTGCATAAAACAAAACTTTAGAGTAGATCACCTGAAAATAACACTGTGAAGTAGAAAAAGAGAAACAAGACTTTACACCATAGGGAATGGAATCACTTAAGATGGGGATGTGAAAGGTGTTATCATGAGATAAAGAGAGCTCAAGGGCCATCTGGTCAGTATTTGAAATTAAGCTAATACAGAAGAATGCCGTGTCCACTCCAGATTCATTAAAATATTTATCTAATGCTAAAATGTAGTGTTGATTCAACTAAAAATGTTGAAAAGAGGGGCCTCCCCTGGTGGCGCAGGCGGTTGAGCATAGCACTGTGAAGCTGTAAAGCTGTCTGCAGCCTCTGCAGTGCCGGTTGGATCCCAGCTGCTGGCGAGAATCCAACGTGGCACAGCAGACCTCTCCTGCCTCGCCTGCTGCTCCCCTCAGCAGTGTGTTTTGTGAGTCTGCCTGTTTTGTTTCCCATAATGTCTCTGTTGAATCCTTTCACCCTCCTGCGCATCTGGCCTGTACCCTGGTTCTTGTATGCATGAATAAAAAAAATCTTTAAAAAAGAGTTTTTTAAAAAATGTTGAAAAGAGAGATTTTTGAAATACTTATCTAGGGTAAAAAACATGAAAGGGGGTGCCTTAGATTCCAGAGTGAAGAAAACAATTTTAGGTGAGTTAGTTACCAGGACTGGAAATCACTTCTTAAGTCCTAGGTCTAATATTTTAATTTTACAGAAAAGCAGCCAGGCCACATTTTCCAAAGACAAGGAAGCAGGATATGTTCCAACTGTTAAAAACAAAACAAAACAAAAAAAAAAAACAAAACAAAACAATCAAAGAACAAAAGCAAAAAAAACACAAAACAAAAACAAAAAAAAAAACAACTTTCAAGTGGGAAGTTATTTTGCTATGTCCTAGAAAGTAGGATACAGAAGTTTGGACAACTTTATAAGAGTAAAAATGAGCCATTTTTGAAAAAGCTGGCATTATGAAACAACTCTAAGAAACTCATGAGCTCTGAATGTGTATTACTTCTGTGTTGTGAGAATGTCAAATTAAGAGTTCAATATAAATCCTGATAAAAACTCAGTGAAGCCATTGACAACAATGAAGAAGTGAGTATGATGTGACACTCCATAGGTTTTACTGTGAACCCCAATTTTCTGCTCCCAAAATATCCCAGCATAAATCAACCTGCTTTAATATAACTTAATATCATGAATGGGTAGCTCACATAAATTGATTTTCTCACTGTTCTGGAGATTGGAAGTCCAAGACCATGATGCTGGCAGATTTGGTTTCTAATGTGTTTTTTTCTCTTCTTGGTCTGGAAATGGTCATCTTATCTCTAGTCCTCACATGGACTTACCTTTTTATTTTTTTTTAAAGATTCATTTATTCATGCATATAAGAGCTGGGGCACAGGCCAGAGATGCAGAGGGTGAGAGGATTCACCAGAGACAGAATGGGTAACAAAACAGGCAGATTGACTGAAATACACTGCTGAGGGGAGCAGCAGGTGAGACAGGAGAATTCTGCTGCACCATGTGGGTTGCTCTCTGGCTAGCTGGGGATTGAACTCTTGCGGAAGAGGCTGCGGATTGCTTCATTGTGTGGTGCTTAACCCCTTGTGCTACCAGGGAGGCCCTGGAATTACCTCTTTAAAGACAAGTCTCCAAATACATTTACATTGGGGTTAGGGCTTTAACACATTTTGGGGAGACACAGTTCAATCCATAGCAGTCTCTATGAAGATGACTCAAGAAAAAAAAAAAAACATTCAAGTCACTTATTAAAACTTATAAGGGGGAGACAGAAAATGGAACAAATAGAGGAATTCACACAGTATACCTAGGTATAATAGAACTATCTAGATGAAACATTTAAGTAAATGTGTTTAGATGTTTAGATAGATAAAAGACAAACATATCAACAGAGCATCATACTGGAAGAAGGACCCCAATCTTGAACTGGAAGACATGTGATTTGGGGATTGGTAATGTTATAGATAAATGTAAATAAGCATTAATAAGTTAAAAAAAAGATGTAACTAAATCAGATAAATGACATAGATGTAAAGATATAACAGAAGTGAAATAACATACTACAGAAAACATAAGCAAAGACATGAGACAAAGATTCAGAATTTGCCTGGACTGCAAAAAAATATAACCAATCTTCAGAATGATTGAGTATATAGCATCCTTGACAGGATGATTAAAAACAAATCAACACCTAGATATCTTGCAGTGAAGCTTCAGAACTCATACAAGTGAAAAAATCTTGAAAATAATCAAAGATGAAATATCTAGTATAATCAAAGCAATGAAAATTAGAATTACAGAAGATGTCTTACTGTCATGATGGAGACAAGAAGTTGAATGGGGTGGTAAATTTAAAGGGTAGATGAAAAACAATTGTCAACCTAGAGTTTTACTCTAGGTTTACTTCTATGATTTTTACTTAGAATGTAAAATATGAGTCATTTTAAGTAGATTTGGTTATAGAGGAAAATAGGTCAGTGATTGAGGAGAGGTGTGAGTGTATGTGTGTGTGTGTGTGTGTGTGAGAGAGAGAGACAGAGAGAGAGATTGTGATGATAAGGTTTTTGGCAACTTAGAAGAGTGGAAGGAGAAGGGGAGAAGGTAAGAATGTAGGAACAAGGATAGAGAATTGATGGATCAAGGTCCTAGGAGTGAGAGGAAGTGTTGGAATTAAGAACACAGATGGAAGTGTGCAATGACCGCCACTGAAAAACAATAGATAACTTTCTTTTTTTTTTTTTTTGGTTATTGTTTGTGTGCTTTTCTAGATCAAGATGAGGATTCAGGATTTGCAATAATATGTGAAGAATGCTTCCTCTGATGGGAAAAATTAGATTCAGATCCAACTTTCCTTCTCTCAAGAAAGATTTCTCTATCTGAATAATTATTGTTTGAGACTTCAAATCACCACACTCGTTTTAGAAGGCCATGAGGGGTCTGTAGAGGGGAGTGATGTGTGAGAGTAACTGGCTAAGCCTTTTGGGAAATAAACCGGAACTAAGAATTCACATTTCCATGTCCTCTACAAAATCAGCTTTCCAAAAATAGACTCATACAAGCTGTAGTCACAGTTGAATGTCATGTTTCTATTATTGCAATGACATAAAATCATTAAACCGCTGCTAGTAGTAAAAGCAGTCATGTCTGCTAACAGAACTGCTCTGTGCCCATTCAAAGGGAATTGCATTTTAAATGACACTTGGCGAGTGATGTTCTCCTGAGGGGAGTGGCCTGGACTTGATTTGACTTCCACCGTAATTTTATAAATGTCCTCCTTTGATATTGCTGCAGTACTCAAACTCTTAGTTTTGAAAATAGTGTCAAACTGGCTGGAGGACACCAACATGGGTCACCAGAAGGTATTATATAATTTTCTGAATCATCTGCTAAATGTGTGTAATATTTCCTGTGTTTAAAATACTGAAAAAATAATTAAAAATTCCTAATTTTAAGTCTTAACACCCCTTCCTTACTCTTTTCAAGGTTTTTTTGTCTACACTTGTCTTTATGTCACATTCCATATATGCAGAATTATGAATACCTACTATGTGCCAGGCATGCTACATCTGGTAATACTCATGCAACCCAATGAGGGAGATAGCATGACCACAGACAGTAAATGCTGGTCTTTCAAAACTGACCTCGTCTTTCCAAAATCTACTGGGATTCAACAATAAGCCTGAGTAAAAATACTGAGATTTCAGAGGCATTGACTCAAATGTGTCTTTCAAGTTCTTAGCCAATTATAGAGCAGATATGGAAGTTTTGACTTTCTTAGGCATTTAAATATCAACTTCATTATCAGTGGAACCACATTGAGAAAGACACTTTGCATTTAAGGTTAAAATAAACTAGCTATCATCCCCCTAAAACTGACACAAATATCTTGAGGGTGTAGTTATAGAAGCCTATTAATTACAGGTAGGATAGAGCCTGCCTCTCTATCCTGTAGATGGTAGAGTTGAACAAATTCTAATAGTGACACTCCTGTTTTGGTAAGAAAGGAAATGGTGACACATGTAGGATTTGTTTTTCTGCAATGCCTGAAGAAAGCTGGAGTTTGATTAGCAGAAAAATAAATGACTCCCCTTGGAAATAGCACAGACCTTTGTATGGCATCTCATCCTTTTAATTTGCTTGGTTTGGGGCCTCCCTGGTGGTGCAGGGGTTAAGACACAGCACTATGAAACAATCCATAGGAGTTTGATCCCCAGCCAGGGAGGTGACCCACATAGCACAGCAGACCTTTCCTTTCTTGCCTGCTGGTCCCCTCAGTAGTGTATTTCAGTACATCTGCCTGTTCTGCTCCCTATTCTGTCTCTGGTGAATCCTCTCACCCCCCACATCTCTGGCCTGTACCCCTTGTATGCATAATACAAGCTCTTGTATGCATAATAAACCAATCTTTAAAAAATAATTTGTTTTGTTTAATAAAGATATGAGCCTCATTTTCTTCTACCTTATAAGTTTCTAACAAGTAACCAGTGTGTTTATAAAAGTAGGACAAAAAAATGGGAGGTTCATACACTAGAATTCATGAAAGAATATTATACTGGAAGCATTTCTAATGCTCCCCAATTTCCTATTGTATTTTGAAGGTACAGGCATCCAGTAAGTCTAAGTATTTGACTCCAAGGGCTTCTATGAAGATAATTAGGAAAGCAGTAGTCCCTTGCCTGGCTGAAATCTATCAACTATGCGTGTGGCATAGTTTTAGTTCCAAGTCCTATTCCATCATGTAGGTATTGCTTCTATTACAGAATTGCTGTACTGAGTGTATAAGCCTTAGACTTCCAGTTCTTTGACATAGTTGAACATGGCTGAATCTGCTCTCTCAGCATTGTGTAAGAATTGATTGTTTAAGCATTTTGCTGTATCTGACTTCCACATTATATGTGGAATAGCCAGTTTTGGACTAGCCATTTTTCACTGTTTATTATTGGCATGATCTGCCCTCTTCTCTCACCATGGTGCTTATACAGTGTATTATATGCAATTATTGAATAAAGGAAATCATGCATAGATGAGTGAATGCATAATTTTGTGGGAAATCAGCATCGTCACTTGGATTATTTTTTGCTCAATTCACGTCTTCATTTTATTCTTCTTCGAGAGGTGAAAACAGATGACTAGGCACCAATTAGGAGCTGCTTCCCAACAGCTCCTTTGATCTAAAATTCAGACTCATTCAGTCATAGAATAATCCTTAACATGTCAACAATGGTGTCACAAGCTATAAAATTATGGATATCTATATTTCTTAGTGAAAGATCTGAAGTTTACTTTTTGTTTTCTTTTGTAAGGAGCTACAATCTCACTTATTCGTGGTGGAAAAAAATATCCCCTGGAATTAACTCTAAATTGTAATAATAGCTAGTATTTTTGAATGTTTACTATGTGTGGGTGCTATGATAAATACTTGACATAGATTATCTCATTTAATCCTCACAGAAACCAAATGAAGTGTTTACTGTCATTATCCCTATTTGATGAAGAGGATACTGAGGCTTGCAGAGAATTAATAACTTGTCCAAGATCATCTAATGTCGAGTAATCATGAGTGAATGACCTGAAATCACACACACCAGCTGGGACCAGCCTTTTATCGAGGGGAATACTTACAGAGACAGAGCAGTAGCAGGTGAGTGAGCTGATTGATGTCACTTACACAGGGAACTGGGGGGGCCAGCCATCACATTTGAGGACCCATTCATGATCTGTGCGGCTTATCGGCTGCATGGTTGGGTGAGCACCAATTCTTATTCTAGGATGGATGGGGTCTAAACTTTGTGGTTACAGTTCTATAATGTTGTAGAATTGCAGCTTCTGACAGTGATCCTTAACATCAAACCTTGCCTTGGTGTGATGAGAGTCTGGGATTCAAGGAAGCCCTATGTTTTCGGTGCTGTGGTGTTTGGAATTCTCGACCTTCAGCTCTGTTCCATCTCATCAGCATTCCATTAGAATGGCCATCAGCATTCTAATCACTCGTAGCCAATTTCTACAACTTCTGGGTTTTAATTTCTAAATGGTCCTGTCATTTGAGAGGAGGAGGATTGTCAACTATTCTGCTGGGAAGCCAGCTTATTGGGTCTCCAGTTCAGGAAAATTAATCCTTGGCTATCTCATAACCATTAAATGGTGGGACCTATATCCAAGTCCTACAGCCTAATACCAGAGTCTATAGTATATTCTTCTCCTGTTACATATTTTTGTGTTATGCTTGTCTCATACTTGACAATTTGATATTTATTCACTATTCAAATTTACAGCACTTATAACTTATTGTCGTGGTACTCTATGTTGCATTAGAATATGAGATTTAATTTGGTTGCAAACTCCCTAAAGGGGATATATTTTTGATCATGGAATTGATAGGCTAATTCACTGAGGTGTATGTTTGGAGATGTGTTGGAGGAGAGCTTAAGAAGCATTTTTTAGAAGAAAGCACTTCAAAATCAGAGTTTGTGACTTTTGCGTCATGTATGAGTAGCTTTAGGAGATTTTAAATTAGAACTATTGACATTATGAACAGACCTCTGGGTTAATTGATTTTTCTGGTTGCAGAGTAATTTGTTATCTTGAATTCTATTTGTTTATTTTGCATTATCTAATTTCACTCTTTTTGATATTTCCAGTTTAACTTTATGAACTTTGTAGATGTATAATATCTTAAACTAAGAGAAATCATATGTAAATATAAATAGAGTCTTTCCATTAAATATAAGACTCATGAAGTTGGAGGTATAATCTGTTTTGTTGATTGTTTTATATCTATGTCTATCTCTCTCTCTCTCTCTCTCTCTCTCTCTCTATCTGTCTTCTATCTGTCTATCTATCTATCTATCTATCTATCTATCTATCTATCTATCTATCTATCTTCTATCTATCTATATTCCCTGCATAGATAAAAGTAAGCATGAAGTTTTTGCTCAATGAATATTTATTGTTTGAAGAAATCAACTAATGAATGATTCTTTTGCTATGAAAACTATTAAATCAGTTTAACTTTCTAGTATTATAAAAGTATCATTTTTAGTTATTTTCATTTATAAATTAGAGTTGAAAAACTCTATCTCCAGATTTTTTTTGTTATTGTGAATATAACAACTTAGTAAATGTGATTATCTTTCTTATTTTACCATAACTAAATTATTTTGTTTTCAGTGGGAAGGGATATTATATCCAAGTGTATTATATTTAAAATCTTGGCATTACATGTACTTCAAGTGTTTAGAAGTAGGTATGCATGCGTGTGTCTATGGGAAGGGTGGTTAATGATTTGAAAAATTATACTCATTTCTGGTGATCATCCTCTATTTTGGATATATAACTCTTTCTCCAAAGAGAAAAACAAAGAAAAAGTTAATGTAAATAGGAGAGGAATCCCCAATTACACAGTTCTCTCTTAAAGGCAATTCATTTATATTATTTCAGAGGGTGACTTATTTACAAGTCGTGTGTCCTTGAATTGGTACTTTGTCTTCCTGTGTCATCTTTTGCTTTTTGACAGATAAGCAAAGATTATAGTGCTGATTTCATAAATTTATTGTGAAGAAGCAGTGAGTTAGCACATGGGAAACATGTAGTTTAGAATAGTTCCTGCTGAAAGTAAGTTCTCAATAAACAGTATTGTTATGGTTATTTCCATATCTCAGTATGTAAATAGCACCTTATCTGGACATCTGTGCCAGTCAGGAATGACATGATCCCTGGATTTGTCTCTAGGGTTTCACAATCATATAGAGAGTCTTCAAGTCTCCCTAGTAATCTCAATGAAAATCCAGCCAAAACACCTCTTTAGGGACTGCATCATGCCTGCTGTATCTTACAAAATTGGTTTTCCATCCCTCCTTTATATGTCCTCAAACTCCGACTTTTTTTTTTGAAGATTTACTTTTACTTATTTATGCATACAAGAACTGGGATGTAGGCCAGAAATGCAAGGGGTGAGAGGATTCAACAGAGACAGAGTGGGAAGCAGAACAAGTGGATCTACTGAAATCCTCTGCTAAGGAGAGCAGCAGGCAAGAGAGGAGAGGTCTGCTGAGCCATGTGAGTTAGCTCCCTGGCCCGGGTTAGAACTCAGGCCATGGAGGTGAAAGCGCTGAGACTTAACCACTAGGCCACCAGGGAGGCCCAAACTCTGACTTCTCTGTAGTGCTTTTTAAGCTAGACTAGCCCAAGCCTGATATGGGTGGTAGATAATGGAGCATTCTCTGATGATACCTCTGAGACCTCAAGTGACCCAAGCTCTCCATGCAATCCCAATTTTGCAGTTTGGAAGAAGCAGAATGAGGCACACACCTGGTGTTTTCCCTGTCAGCTCTTCTAGTCAAAGGGTCTAAGGTTGTCAGTGGAAGATGAACCCACAAGCAATGGTTCTTATAGGCCAACAGCAACATAGCAAATAGATAGAAACTCCTTTAGGTCATGGAAAATGCAGTGGGCCTTACTGTTACTCTGTCATTATGTTAAAATGTACATACAGACCTACCTGGGTGACTAAAAGGCATACTGGCTTCCTGCGCATTAGTTGAAGGCAATCTTCTGATCTTCACTTCTGAAAACTTTCTTTGGTGCTCCTCTTTCTCTTTTCCTGGCTTTCATCCATTTGATTTTCTTCCCATGACCCACTTGCTGACTTACTTTAGATAATTTGAAAACACTGACCATAGACATGCCAAGGGTGAAAAGGATTCTTCATTACCAGTGAACTCCAAATAACAGCTCTCTATTCTCATCCCCAGAAGAATTTTTGTAATCTTGTTGGAAGTGTTAATGCTCTAGAAAAGAAAAATGAACAAAGCTTTTCATTAGCTACATGTTAATGAACTTTGTTAAAAATCAGATCACCTCAGTCTCAAAGTGAAAACAAAAACAGAATTCTTGACTTAATAAACGAAATATGCCTATGAGAGTCAAGATGATTTTTGGTCTCACTCATAGCAGGAATTTAGAAAATCTAATAAGGGACCAGGAAAAAGACTAATTAATACAAAGTAAAAATCAAAATCAAGAAGCAACTATAAACCAGAGACACACTATAAGGGGGAGCGATGGGGAGAAGAAGGATTAGGGTCAAAATAAGGAGGGTGCAATTATATGGTGAATATAACCAAAATGAAAACACATACATTGTGCAAAAATGAAAAATTATGTAAGAATTATATAAAATAAAATATTAAAAAATAAAATTAATAATAGTAATAAAAAAAAACAACCAACAAAAAAAAAGGATGATTTTTGGCCAAAACTACTTAGAGAAAATGATATGGAATCTGTGACTTTCATGTAAACTTTTTAGAACCAATGTCTTTTTTTTTATTAAATAATTGAAGGACTATCCTGACAAAATAGACATATATACACCAAATAAAATCCACAAGTTTTTGAAGATAATTTTAGGAGATATATTTGATGAAGACTGTTAATATGTCCTAGAAACATGTATAGATCTCACATCAAATCACCTTCATTAACTTAGCTCATTTCCATATTCTTGTAATCAGTGTATCACAGCACCATAGTGTACAGTGAATGTCAAGCAGGTGTGCTGAGGTTTTCATCTCTTCCTGTCTTCAGGACAACACAATATGATCAAGGGCATTAAAGACCCAGGGTTCTGTCTCTTTTCATGGTGAGCAAACATGATAATTTTCCTCATTAAGCCATATAAATCCTACCATTTCCCATGTGAACTCCAATATTAAATAAGTTGAACAATGCTAAATAATTATTCATTTATTGTCTTCAGTGGATGATTATTCCATATCTTTTATTAGTGGTGAAACAGTGTGAGTTAGGGATGTGGTAATAAAGTGACTAACATTTGTTGTGACTTTGAGGAAGATATAGCCTATAATAAAACATAGATACCCAGTCAACTGAGAATAAAGCCATATGCCATATGTAAATAGCTATGGTTGCATGGAGGGGAGTTGGTCTTATTTTATTTGGAAAGACATTCAGGGTGAGGACACACATCACCAAAGAAGCAATGTTTAGCTGAACTTTGCAGGTTAAGTGTAATTTACCAGGAAGATTTTATGCTATGGTTATTGTTTTACTGATAAACAAATTTCCACTACAACACACTAAATGATTGCATACTATTCCAGTATGTGGATGGAAGATAACTAATTCTATTGAGCCCTAATTTTGGTCATCAGGCTAGTTACTTTGGGACAATTATAAGGAACATTGATATAATTTTTTTAGCTAAATCAAAGAATATGCCCTTGATTCTTCTCTAGGAAAATGGTCCTAGATGTAAAATTACTGGTCAAAAAATCAGCACAGTTTTAAAGCTTAAATATGTTTTTGTAGCCAGCATTGAAAGAGTTGAGTTCAGACAAATTTGACTTCAAAATAAAAACTTTCCTTTTGATGGTTTTTCACCTTGAGAAAGTTGCCTAACTTTTATAACTCTTAATTTTTTTATTTAAAAAAATACAATAACTTTCAAAGGTAGCTATAAAAACTATAGTACATGTGGGGCCTCCCCGGTGGTGCAGCAGTTGAGTGCTGGGTTGCGAAGCTGCCCACAGCCTCTGTGGCACTGGTTCGATCCCCGGCTGCTCCACAGCCACCAGAGGAGAGTCCCACATGGCCCGCAGACCTCTCCTGCCGCCCGCTGCTCCCCTCAGCAGTGTACTTCGGTCCTTCTGCCTGCTCTGCTCCCCGCTCTGGCTCTGGTGAATTCTCTCACCCTCCCACGCTTCTGACTGTACCCAGTGCATGTATAAACAAAACAAACAAACAAACAAATAAATAAAAAAATAAAAACTATAGTACATGTAAATAAATACTCATTGAATCTCCACTGTATGTTACCAGATAGTTGTTCAATCCTGACAATACAATTCAAGTGCTTTAAATACTGTGAGTTAGTGTCATTAACTAATGACTAACCCGAAATGTGAAATA